CAGAGAGCACCCTCTGCGGTGTCCTTTTATAGACAGGTACAAACAACTTACATCACTTCTTTACGTACCAGGTTGCCACCCTCTGTTGCTTAGTTACCACCCCTCACCTTATGCAAGGGGAGGCTTACCTTGTATTTGTCATCCTGTCAGTTCCGACCTGGTCCTGAACCTAGGTTGGTACGTGCCTAACTCCTAGGGAGTTCTTGTCACGTTACTGGATTTTGAGGGGAGCAGCCAGATCACTGCTGCACCCATGGAGGGTGTGGCCCCAAAAGTGGCACAAAGGGGGGCCATGTGAGGTGTCCAGTAGAAGCCTACTTTCTTCTGATTCCATATATGCTATTCATGTGATTGTATAATGTCGGTTTGTGAAGTTACAAGCATGTATTTTGTGTGGATACCAAATGTTTCTCTATATGTGGTTGAACTATGGGCAAAGCAGCTGTGCCCAGACTCGGCCCGGTCCGTCACAGTTCTTGTACCAGGACATTCCTTAAGATGTTCCGTTACTCCCTTTTGGCTTACAGTCTGTACTTGGTGCTTCCCTGTGTCCTTCCATGCTTCACTAACTTACACAATGACACAGTTATCAGTAGGGCCTCTTTCGTGGCTCCTGTGTTACTGAACCAAAGTCTTGCTCACTAGGTTGCAGGCCTGTTGCTGTTTTCATGTTACAGGCTTCTATCTAGGCCTGCTGACTCCATGTTACTGACCCTCAACTTACTACACCTGCACCTCCATTTGGAATAGTTAAGGGTGTGCAAAGGAACAGACATTGAGAACCACCGACAGAGCAGGACAGAGTGGAGTATCACCTGTACTAGGCCTAGCCTAGCTGAGCCTGGCCTTGACCTTTTCCCTAGTGTAGATGCAAAAGAACATCTTGTTGCTCCATTTAGTTGGATCACGGGGTTGCCTCAGCGCAAACACAGGCCTAGTGCCACAGGCCAGGGAAGGGGCGCATGAGGTCTGGGAGATGTGTGTTCACCAGGTCACTGACCCCACGTAGGGGAAGGCGGTTGTGGGCACTGGGACATTAGCCCCACATGGGGAGGGGACTGTCACTGACCCTACGTGGGAGAAGGGGGTTGTCATGATAATTTATCTTTTATGACCTTTGTGAGCCTTGGTGAAGACATAGTTCATTAGCAGAGATGCTGATGTGCATCCCATGCTGGCTTTCTTCTCCCTTGCCTCCCTATTACATGCAGAACACAATGCAACATGTCACAACACTGCAAAATGCCTGTAAGAAAAGCCCAGGCAACCCACTTTACCTCCTGAAACACTCTGACATGTCTGACCTTGTTGGATGAAACAAACTGCTAAAGTGAGGGCAGTGGACCAGAATAACCCAGAGAGAGCCCCCTCCATGAAGATCATGACTTAGTTACCGGTAATTTGTCTGACCACAGGTTTGGCAGAGCAGCACAATAGATACAGCCCTGGTTGGTTTGTTATTTTTACCTCAAACCAAAACTTCCTCCCTTCTAGGGAAAGTGTGAAGTTCTAGTTCCTGAGTGTATGTTGTATCGGTGATATTTGCAGATGCGTAGGCTGGTTATGTAAATAATCTAAGGTACTTTAGAGTCTGAGATTCTCTCAACTGAGAGGCAGTAAGAGTCCATTATATACTTCCCTTCTCTGAGAGCTTTGTTCCAACAGTGTCATGCATTCTCCTCCATTCCTTTTATATTGGTATCTCTTGGCTTCATGTTATGGGGCTTTCAGATGCCAGAACACGGATCTGTCTTCGGAATTCAGGATGGACGGGGATTACACAATTGCAGGGTTTTTCCAAATGCACAGCTACTCAGCAACAGCGAAACCTAGACCAGAAGTTGACATATGTGACAGGTAAGTCAGAAGGGTAGGACTTGGGGCTGCAACAGATTCTATCTATTGCTACCTCAGTACTCCAATTAATATGCTTTGGGGGTGTGCTGTCATTGCTTAATATGCTTAGAGTCTTGCAAATCCACAGATATCTGCTTTATATCTATAGGTATCCATGTTATGCTTATAAGAAGCACATGAGATTTTTTTCGGGGGAAAGGTAACGTGACATTTATTGAAAACACAGTCTGAAAAGCAGCGCACGCACGCACACAAGTCCTGCAGATGTTCTTATACTTTGCAGTCTGTTGTGGCTTCAGTCAGTCTGGCGGCCAGTTATATCGAAGACGAGTGAGGAGCCGGCTCTGTCACTCATCAGCCAACGCTCCGGAGTAGTATGACCCAACCCAGAAAACATGGCAAAAGTTCCCTATTTATATACTGGCAAGATCCTATTTGGGTCTATGGGGTTTGCAGTGTCATGCTGCAGTCCTTGATCTTTCAGTGGTGTGATATTGGGGTTTTCCCACAGTTATCCTTTGATGGTTACTGTGGGGCTTCCCATCCGTATCTCTTGTTTGTGTCACTTTTGGGAGGGTCTGCCTGTCTCCACGGTTCGCTTCAGGTACAATGCATGTTCTCCAATCATCTCCAGGTTTTTGCATCTGCTTAGCTATCTGGCCATTCGCGATGGCTTCCACACACATTCTTCACTCAAACCAAACAATTCTTAGAGAGGTAGCCATGTTCGTCTAATCTTGGTAAAACAAAAAAAGCAGTCATGTAGCACTTTAAAGACTAACATTATTCATTGCCTAATAAACTATCTTGTTAGTCTTTAAAGTGCTACACGGCTGCTTTTTTTGTTTTACCAAACAATTCTTACAGAGAATTTCAGACAAAGGATACATAGTTACTGAAGAAATAACAAAAGACCTTTACATGACTTAGTTTGCAATGCAGACAAGATGACAATTTGTGGTGTTAACAAGAAGCAAGGGTGACTTGCAGGGTGAAACAGAATCATACAGGACTTAGTACCATTGTTATAGTTGTCATCTTATACCAGCTCTAAACCACTACGTGTTGGCTACATCCCCGTCTGTGGACGTCAGTAGCAGTGGCTCATTTTCGCAGATATGGATGTGGATACAAATTTTGTATGTAGGACCCTACAAATGTGCAGCTACTCATGGATGTGAATGCAGATATCAGTGGCTCATTTTTGCGGGTGCAAATTTGCAGCTATTCATGGCTCATTTTTGCAGACACTACTCATAGCTCTATAGATGATGCGCAGGATTATCTCCTTACTTCCTCATGTTCATGGTCTTGTGTACTTGATCCCCCGGTTGCCCCTCATCCTTAGATTTTCAACTCTTGTAGCCGGGACCATTCTGTGTTTGTACAGCAGCTAGCACAGCGGGGGGTCATGCAGCCGAACGCCAACAATCGCAATACAAACCAGACTAGCTGTTGGACACACAGAAGGAACTCGGGCTCAGCAGGACTAGAAACAGAAAGGGAAGGAAGCTGGAAAAGGAGGTGGAACAAGCTGTAGGAAAGCAGGTCTGGGACGAGACCCACCGCAAATAGGAAGCTGAGCAGAGAAGACACACGGTGGGCTGGGGACTGGGGCAGGCAGAGCTCCCCTCTCCTTAATAAAATTGACAATAGTCCATAATCACAGCTTAGCTAGAGCAATTGCAGCTGTTTGCTGAAGAAAACCTCTGCTGCAGCCAGATGCGCTATGTTCAGCAGCGGGGGCAGCCGCGAGCTAGGGAGATGCAGGCGGTTTCTCTTCCTCTCGTGCCACCGGGGCAGAGCGAGGCAGTGACTCTGCCCCCAGCACATCGCATACGCGGATGCTGACTAGGAGGAGAGCAGTGGGGATCTGAGTCAAGATCAGACCCGGCGTGTGATGTGCAACAAGGAAGATCAGCAGCCTCGAAGCAGCCACACAGAAAGGGGGGTGTTTATGGTGCTGGCCTCCTCACGAATCGCCTGTGAGCCACTGCACTTGTGGCAGAGGGGGGCACAGGCGGGCCCGTGACTTATCTAAGGTCACCCAGTGCAAGAACATGAGGTGGCCTGGCTCCGGGACCACATTGTTCTTGGGCCGGGCAGTGCCCAGGGTGCACGTCCCAGGTGCTGCACAGCCATCACATCTCTCTGTTTCTGCAGCGCGGGCTCTGTAAACAGCCACGGCTACCACCTGTTCCAGGCCATGCGCTTTGCCATTGAGCAGATAAACAACTCCAGCAGCCTCCTCCCCAACGTCACGCTGGGCTACGAGATGTTCGACACGTGCTCAGAATCTGCCAACCTGCACGCCACACTGAGCATCCTGGCCCCGAGCGGGCAGCACCCAGTGGAAGTGCTCAGCGACTTCACCCGCTACCAGCCCAAGGCCGTGGCTTTGATAGGGCCAGATAGCAGCCAATTCACCCTCACCACCGCAGCGATCCTGAGCATCTTCCTCATGCCCGAGGTAACCGGGCATGCGGGGCAATGGCAGATAGATTGCAAGCCGGCTCGAAGACGGGCGAGAACGCTGATCGATCAGAAGGGAGGGCGGGCCCGTGGTTCAGGCCAGCAGCGGTGGGAGGCTCAGTGCTGAGCAGATGACACAAACCCCATGGTCTTTGTGGCATGTGGGACCCAGCCTCAGTCTGACTCCACGCTGGACAGGCTTGTTCCTGGCGCCGAGAACATGACTGTTTACTTGGCTCTTTTTCCACAGCTAGCACTTCCCTGTCCCTCCAGCTCCCAGGTCCCCTCGTGCCCACAGAGTCAGGGCTGAGGTTGGTTCCCCCCCCCCCCGTGTGGCTGCTCTGTGCCCTCCCCCATGTGTAATCACTGCTCAGCGCTGACCCCCAGGGGGTGCCAGTAATGCCCATCCCCCACAGGAAACACTGTCTTTCCTCGCTTCCCTGTTGCAGATCAGTTACGAAGCCTCCAACGAGATGCTGAGCCTGAAGCGGACCTACCCCTCGTTCCTGCGCACCATCCCCAGCGACAGGCTGCAGGTCGAGGCGCTCGTGCTCCTGCTGCAGGAGTTCGGGTGGAACTGGATTGCGGTGGTGGGCAGTGATGATGCCTATGGCAGGAACGGGATAAAGACCCTGCAGGAGGTGATGGGGAAGCACGACATCTGTGCTGCCTTCCAAGGAGTCATCCCCGCAAAGAGGGGCACCAGCCGCCAGGAGCTGAAGGAGATGGTTAGAGTCCTCTTGGGGACCGGGGTCAATGTCACCATCGTCTTCTCCAACGAGTACAGCGCTAAAGACTTCTTCGAGGTGGTGGGGCAGGCGAACGTGACGGACAAGGTGTGGCTGGGCACCGAGGCCTGGTCTCTAGCCTCGGTTGTCTGGGGCATCCCCGGCATCCACAGGATCGGCTCAGTGATCGGCTTGTCGGTCAAGCAGGCGAAGCTTCCAGGCCTGGAGGAATTTGAATCTGCCCACGGGACCCCCGACCAGCCGCAGGCAGCCACATGTGCCCCTGCCCCGGATGCTACCGGGAGCAGCCGCACTGACAGCACCCACCAAAGCTGCAATCGGGTCTGCACCAGCTGCAGCTTCCAGGCGGATGCACCTCAGGCGTTCGACATTTGGGCCTCCTTTAACGTGTATTCGGCAGCGTTCGCCGTGGCCCACGGCCTGCACGACCTGCTGGGCTGCGGCATGGGAGCGTGCAGCAAAGACAAAGTCTACCCCTGGCAGGTGAGTGGGCCCATGGGAAAGGGCCCCTCTCCCTCCTGCAGTGCCCTTGTGTGAGGCTGCTGGGGGACTGACCATATAGTGAGAGGCAAGAACAGACGGGTAAGGAGCTAGCGGGAGGACAAGCAGGTGCCCAGCAGCTCCAAGGGCTGCCGGCCGTCAAAGCAGCAAGTAGGTTTCAAAGCTGATGGAGTCAGTCTCAGAACAGGCCAGGGGCCAGGCCCTGCCCTGGAGAGGCCCCTCTCAAGCGAAGAGAGGGCGGACAGTACGCGGGGGGTAGGGCACCTGGGTTCGACTCCCTGCTTCCCTGTAGGCACCACGTGCCCTGGAGATGTCAGTTATGGCCAAATGCTCAAAAGCCCCTCAGTGACTCCGGTGCCTCAATCTCTTCACTGTCAATGGGACTTAGGCACCAGGTGTCTGGGCATCTGTCACGGGGTAACAGACCCGCCCTGCCCCCGGGGCGGGACACTCCCAAGGAAGAGGCGAGCAGCACAGACACGGACCCTCCCAGCTCAAGGCCCTAGCTGCCGCCTGACGGGTCTTTGCCCACGTGGTTGACGCTGCGTGTAGGAATCGCGGGTCTTTTCTGTCTCGCGCTTTCCTGTTTTCCAGCTGCTGGAAAAGATCAAGCGGGTGAATTTCAGCCTGCAGGACAGCCAGGTGCAGTTTGATGCCAGTGGGGACCCACTGACAGGCTACGACCTCATCGCGTGGAAGTGGACTGGCCAGACCTGGGCGTTTGATGTCATTGGGTCTTTCCTGCGAGAGCCAGACAGACTGATCATCGCCCGAGAGGGCATCCTGTGGCACGCAGCGGGGAATCAGGTACCACCGTGGCTACGGGGTAGGTGGGGCCTGAGGCGGTAGGGCCGTGGCCACTGTGGTAGCGTCACAAACAAGAACCTCCCTTGATTCCTGAACCTCAGCCCCGCAGGAAGCTTTGTGTCCCCAGGCTTAGGGGAGCAGAATCCTACAGGCTGGGAAGGGCCTGCCCGCCCCCCCACTGCTGCACCAAGTCACCTTTTCTGGCCATGCTCAGGTCGCCGCACCGCAGGGGGATGCTGGGGTGTCCAGCATGCCGGGCCTGGCTGCGGGCTCTCACAACCGGGCTGGCACGACGGGCAGGGAGCGGAGAGGCTCCTGCTGCTCGCATCTTAGTTCTTAGAAAAATCTCCCTCTGGAAGAAGCCCCCGCAGGCTCTTGAGCTGCCCCTGGCCAGGGGCTACCGGTCCCTGCATCCCACCTGCAACCCGACCCCTTTCCTGGGCACGGAAGGAGCAGCCTGTGCCGGCGCGGGGGCTCCGCTCGCTGAGCCGGCCGGGAGAGGCTCCCTGCAGCCCTGCCCCTCGCTGTGCTTCTGCCCAGGTGCCGGTGTCTACGTGCTCCCAGCTGTGCGCCGAAGGGGAGAAGAGGCTGCAGGTGGGGTTTCACCAGTGCTGCTTTGACTGTGCGGCCTGCCCCGCGGGAACCTTCCTGAACAGCAGCGGTAGGTGGCTCCTCAGAGTGTGGGGAGGGGTCACAGCCAGGGCAGGCTGGCTCCCTTCCCTGCCATCCCTGCCCTCGGTCCCTGGCTCCAGGCACTCCCTGTGCACGCTCACTCCTGCAC